GCCCAATTCATAACAGTAGCAAAATGACAGTTATGAAGTAGCAACAAAAATAATTTTATGGTTGGGGGGGGGGGTCACCACCACACAAGGAACTGTATTAAAGGGTCACGGCATTCATTAGGAAGGTTGAGAACCACAGTCCTACTAGGTATAAAATGGTATCTTATTGTGGTTTTGATCTGCATTTTCCTATCACTCTAAACATTTATCAGTACTTATTGACCATCTGTATACTTCCTCCTTTGGAGAAATGTCTATTCAAATCTTAGCCCATTGTTTAGATGAGGTCTTTTGTCTCTTTGTTGAGCTGTAGGAGTGCATATTATATTCCATTTATTAAATTATTATAGGATATATAATTTATAAACATTGTTTTTTCCTATTCTGTGGGGTTTTTATGCTTTGCTGCATAAATGTTTAAAGTTACATAATTTCGTGTCAACTTGAAGATATATGAAAGTGTAGGGGTGGAGTTTAGCCTGTCAATCAGGTCACAGCCTGATGGTGACTCCTTGTGGGTGTGGACTTCTCATAAGGAGGCTCTGGGAACCTCCCCTTCTCTCTCTGCCTTACCTTCCTACTGGTGAGCCACTTTGAGACTTGTCCTGTGATGCTTTCACTGCCATTGAATCCACAAGACTTTATACACACCAACCTTTGATTTCCTGCATTCTGCATCATTGCTTGTGACTGCGTGAATCTGAAGAGGGACTTATGGACTAGTATTGGGCTATGGACTACAGTTGGACTAGGCTGGGATGTTTTCTTGATATATGATTACTTCTTGATATAAAGCCCTTTCTTACACATGAGTGTCACTGGATTTGTTCCTCTAGCCAGCCTGGCCTCACACAAAGTCTAATTTTTCTTTTTCTGTTTTTGGTATTTGTTGCTCATGCTTTTGGTATCATGTTTAACAAATCACCGCCAATTCCAAGGTCATGAAGAGTTCTTCAAAAAGCTTTAGGGTTCTCAGCTCTTAAATTTAGATCTTTGATCAATTTTGAGTTATGAGCAATTGTTTAAAGCATATTTTTTGCTTCTATGTCTCGCTCTGTGTTTGATTATGTCTCTTAAGAAAACCTTTTATAATCAAGCGGCCATCAAGCTCAGAAGCAACAAAGCCCACATGGAAGAAGCACACCAGCCTATGCAACCACGAGGTGTCGAAGGCATCATCAGAACAAAAAATCTCACCATAGTGAATGAAGCGGGGAGTGCGGAGTGGTGACCCAAAGCCCATTAGTAGGTCACTGGAGATCCCCTTGCAGAGGGGTCTCGGGGAGGAGATGAGCCAGTCAGGGTACGATGTAACAACGATGAAAAATACAACTTTCCTCTAGTTCCTAAATGTTTCCTCCCCGCTCCCACTACCATGACTCGAATTCGACCTTGCAAGTCTGGCTAGACCAGAGGATGTACATTGGTACAGATAGGAACTGACAATACAGGGAATTCAGGGCGGATGAGCCCTACAGGACCAGTGGTGTGAGTGGCAAAACAGGGAGGGTAGAGGGAGAGTGGGTAGGAAAGAGGAAACTGATTATAAGGAACTATATGTGACCTCCTCCCTTGGGGATGGACAACAGAAAAGTGGGTGAAGGGAGACATCGGACAGGGTAAGATATGACAAAATAACAATTTATAAACTATCAAGGGCTCATGAGGGAGAGGGGAGCGGGGAGGGGGGAGGGAGGGGAAAAATGAGGACCTAATGTCGGGGTTTTCAATGGACAGGAATGATGAGGGCAATGAATGTACAAATGCGCTTTACACAATTGATGTGTGTATGGATTGGGCTAAGAGTTGTATGAGCCCCTAACAAAACGATTAAAAAAAAAAAGAAAACCTTTTAGATTTCTCTTTTTAAAAACTCTACTTCAAACACCTGGGTTCATGATATACGTTCTATGCTGAAATTATTCATAACCCTGCCAGAGTAGAAAACCAGAAAATATTTAATTTAATTAATCATTTTCTTCAGTTAACAGTCCTAGGTATAGGTTTGCTGGGAGACAACTTAGTGCCATTTTCCCAATGAGATTTTGGGTTATTTATGGAAAGCCAGGTTCATCCTATCCTCTATTCTCTGGAGAAACAGGAATTAATGTTCTCATCAGACTATCCAAAATAAAATAACCAGTACCTTTTGAGACAGAACTTAAGCAAAATATTTCACGGAAAAAGCCTGCCCTGAGGATGTGGGATATGAGGAAGCTGAATTAGACCAATTATCCCTAAGAATCACAGATACACTACTAGTAAAGATACGTATGAAAATAATTTTTTTAAGTTGTACTAGTTTATTCTATAAAGTACTCTGATTTTAAAGGGACATTATTTTAAAATGAAAATCACCTGTAATTCCAGTAATTTTGTAAACTTATTCACAGCATGCATATTGTAACTTGCTTTTTTTGCTTCAAATCTACTATGAATATCTTTATGTATCATCAGCTGTTCTTCTATATCATATTTATTGGCTTCCCACTATTTTACTATATGATGGCCTATAGCTTAATAGCTTATCACACGATACTTAGGTAGTTTATAATCTTTCACTGTTATGAAAATGCTGTGATGAACATCCTTAATATAAACTTAATGCTATTGCCTTTGAAAGTGTCTATAAGCATACTTTCCAAAACAAAAGCCTCTACTAATTTATACTCAGGAGTACAAATGGTTGACATATGAGGCTGCTAACCATTAGGGTGGAGGTTCAAGTCCATGGACCCAGGGCCCTGGAAAAAAGGGCAAGTAATCTCTGTAGAACAAGCCAGTGATTGACACATATGGGGTCACCAGGAGTCCCAGTGGACTTGAAGGCAACTGGTACCAGCAGTGTGAGAAGGCATCGTCACCCAGAATGTGCATTAACTTTACAAATACCGCCACATTTGCAGAAATAGACCTCATTTTAGTTTGCAATTCTTTACCTATTTTTGAAACTGAATATCTTGTCCATTTTCTTTTTTTTTAGTTTGAAAAAATGTAATACTGTTTATTTAACTTCAAAAACATTTCAGCATTCTAAACATACAAAAAAACAAAACAACCCAGAACATTGCAAAGTGTGTTTAAGTACAGACGGTTCCATCAGTACAGCGGCTCTTCACTGACAACGAAGAGATCGACAGTTCGCTCAAAAACAGCTTTGAAACGACCACCCTAAACAAAAAATTTTTTTTGAAAAGAAAAAAACTGCAAACACTTCTCATGCCAGCTATGTCACTATATACAAAAAAACCCAAACAAACCAAGACAACCTGAAGCTATATGGATGGCCACCGCAGTGTCAACAGGTCAGCTTCACAGTGCATGCCCTGAGCTCGGCCCCTTCCAAGGGCGCCGCCCCCACCCCACCCCCCACCCCCAGCCTCGATGCCAGAGTGTGTGTCCTGGCTTCTTCCGTCTTTCTTTCGTTTTTTGTTTCTTTACAAACCATAGATATGTACAGTGCAGACCGCGGGGGTCCAAGCTGATCACCATTTCGTGAACACCACCTCACAAAGGAAACAAACCAGCAAACACGTGGCCAGAACTGCTCAAATGCCTTGTCAGCCCCGCAGCAAAGTGCGCAGAGCCCGGGGCCCCCAAGCGCCTTTCCTTTTACAAATGCGTGGAAATATGTACAAGTTTGATACAGTTCCAGGGTGCTCCGGACACCCTGACCACGTCAAGCAGACCCTGGACGGGTTCTAGAGCACTTTAAAAGACTACACTATGATCATGATCCAACTGTGGAATTAAACCTAATGAGGGTAACTGGACGAGGCAATCCTGGGCGCTCCCTACTCTAAGGTATTCACATGGAGACAAAGAAACCGTTCTTTATTCATCTTCCTCTTCCTCCTCCTCCTCATCTTCTTCATCTTCCTCTTCTACCTTTTTCCGGGTAACTTTGGCAGCAGGACCCTTCGCATCATCAAACTTGGCCTTAGACTTATAGTCCGCAACATCCTTTTCATATTTCTCCTTCAGTTTTGCCACCTTGTTGATGTAAGGCTGCTTCTCACTGTCACTCAAATTATTCCACATCTCACCCAGCTTTTTGGCCACGTCACCAATGGAGATGCCAGGGTTTGTAGATTTGATCTTGGGGCGGAATTCAGAACAGAAGAGGAAGAATCCTGACGGTGGTCGTTTGGGAGCGTTGGGGTCCTTCTTCTTGCCACCCTTAGCTGGCCCAGAATCCTTCATTTCCCGGTCATAGCGCACTTTGTCTGCCTTTGCCATCTCATCAAATTTGGATTTCTCCTTCCCAGACATGGTCTTCCACTGTTCCGAACACTTCTTGGAAAATTCTGCAAAACTGACAGGGACTTCCAGGCTTTTCTTCTTGTGTTCCTCTCTGCACGTCTGCACAAAGAAGGCGTACGCAGACATCTTGCCCTTTGGTTTCTTGGGGTCACCTTTCGCCATCCTGACTGTATTGTTCGGGCTCTGAGCAAGCCTCTTGTCCATTTTCTATGGTATGTTTATCCTTTTATAGGTGACTTACAAAATGTCCTCTGTTATTAAAGGAAACTAACCTACTGCCTATCACAGTTTGCATGCTAAAGATATTAATTTTTATTAGCTTAGTCCATTGATCTTTACCTCAATAATTTCTCCTGGCCTGATTTTTTTTCCCCCTCCTGTATAGCAGCCAAGTGCATGTACTGGTTGAGATACTGCCTTTCTCTTCTGCAAAGAGTCCCTGTGGGCTTGCAAGGAGGCCCTGGGTGGTGCAAATGATTATGTGCTTAAGTACTAAACTAAATGTTGGTGGTTTGAACCTATGTAGAGGGGCTGCAGGAGAAAGGCCTGGCAATCTGCATCTGAAAGGTCACAGCCAGGAAAACCCTAGGATACATTTCTACTGTGCACATGTGGGGAGGCCACAAGTCAGAACTGATTTGACAGCAATAGGTTTGGGAGTTTGCAATGTGAGGTCATGGCAACTCCTAGATAGAAAAGGGTGTTGACAATTTCATATAATTTGATATATGAAATGCACGTTATATCAAGGGTAGGGCTCTCAGCCTCACGTACACCATGGGATTTTTAAGAGGGATACTCATGCATGTGTTTGGGTGTATATTTGCTGGAAATTTAGGCTTAGGCTGAAATGAATATCCCTTTGTTGATTCAACTGAAAATAGCAAGTGCTGCTTAAGGACAATAAAGGAAAAGTTGGCTCAATCCCCAGCCTCCCCCCAACTCCCATGGAGAGGAATTTTGCTCTAATAAGAGGCAACTGAAAACCTCACCAACTTCTTTCACTTCCTTCCCTGCCAGCAAAATGGTTTCTATCGCTTTGCAACTATAATTCTGGCTTTTAATCTAGCTGAGCCTGTTTGCCCAGTGGGCTTGTCCAAGACAGACACTCTATCTGACCTTAACTGAGAGGAGCCTCTGCACACCCACACACCTGCACCCTTACATCAGAAGCCATCTTCAAAGGAGCTGCAATAAAGCCAGCCGAGAGCCCAGAGCTATTGATGCAGCGTGGGTCTATGCTTAGCTAAAGCCACAGGCCTCTCTGCCTAATGAACACTGCATGGAATACCTGGTAATACTGTCTCCTCCATCTTCCCCATTCTCAAGGAGCATTCCTTAAAAGCAGCTAAGTGTTGGTTTTTTGGTTGCTTTTTTGGGGGGGGAGGTGTTGTTTTAAATTGATTAGCAGATGTGATTTTGCTTACATTCTCCATAAATACGCTGGCTGGCTGCATACCATTGATTACCAGGGGTTTGGTTTACAGCAACTAATTGCTCTCCTTGCTAGTGTTTTGATGCAAAATTCAATAGCGAATGTGTTTTTCAAAACTCTTGTCTTTGTGGTTTGAGTCAGAAGTGACTTGAGGCAAATCCAGTGGACTGAGTTTTCCCTTCTTTAAAATAATTGCTCTCTCATCAGTCCGTGAAGAAAGTTTCCAAATTGTACATTCTAATTGGGAAGTCTGCATTATGCATGTGATGACAAACTATGTTGTGCTGAATAGCATTTTTTTCTATCCCTTTCTTAATGGATTAATTCTGTGCCAGAGTCTGAACAATAGCTGAGCTAGGGCAGTTGAGATGATGAGCTCCCTTTACTGAACTAGTGCCTCGTAGACCAGGAGCAAATGCCTCTTTGACTTGTTTCTTCTAACTGTCCAACATTTGTAGGAGTCTCCACTGGAAGAGCTGGGGTCCCAATTTCTGCTGTCGTCAACATGTCTCATTTGGGTGGAAACAGGCAACTAAGGAAAGTTAGTAGTGACACAGAAATGCTTTCTTACCAGTCCATTCCCAATCTCGCCCTCAAAAGCAAGGACCTGCCTGACCTCAAACTTTAACATAGACCTTTCTGTTTACGGATTGTCGAAGTCCTACAAAAATGATTGTTCTTCAATTTCAATGATCTAATAAATATTTACTGAGTACCTACTAAGTGATAGGAGCCTTAATGGCAGAGTGGTTATGCATTGGGACAGTTCTACCCTGTCCTATATGGTCACTATGAGTTGGCATCAACTTAGTAGCCTGTGGTTTGGTGTTTTTTGGGTGGTGGTGGTTACTGTTATCTTAGACAAGTCCCTGAACTTGTACTTTAAACCCTGGTGGAATAAAAGGTCTGGGTTTGATCATTTCCTGGGCTCCTCCAGGTCCTACATTAGATAATTCTCAATGACAACACACAGAACAAATTTTTCATGGCACATTGGCCCACCAAAATTCTTGGTTTGGTGCAGGAACTCTTCTGTCCAAGAGTTCTTGCTTAGTCCAGCCCCAGCCCAGCCCAGCCTTGAGGTGGAGGAAAGCTCTGTTTATTCTGTTCTACTGACTGGAGTCAAGGAAGACCCAGGGTCTATCCTAGACCACCCAGATATCCTTTCTCAGAAAGTTAAATATAGGCATTCTAGCTTCACTGGCCCTGTTCCCTTAAGATGAGATGATGAAAATACAGGCAGAATAGTCTGGAGTGACTCTCTTTTATCATTTGCACAAAGAAGCAAAGGAAGCTATCTGTAGGGAGGATAGCGTGCCCCAGGAGGGCGGGCGGGCGGGCTGGGCTCCTGACAAGATCTCAATGTCTGGTTTCAGTCCCTATGAGGGCCACTAGAGCTTTAGCCTTAGCCTTCCGGGAGAAATTTCTCAATCATTTTTATAAAGTCGCTGCTTATGGCTTAGGGCCTTAGGCCATCTTTTTGTTTCCCGCCACTTGGAACCAAAGGTTCCATGATAAATTCCTCGCACAGTGCACGGGCCGGAAAAAAGTAGATGCTAAAAGGATGAGGCTAGCAAGATGCCATGGTAGCTAGAAGGCCAGGGAGTCTTCTCCTCATACACAAAAGAAGAGTCTGCAGAAGCTGAGGGCAGCAGAAATGCAGTGTAGGACAAGTGGGACAAAACAGGCTTTGGAATGGCTCCAAGAGGCATGTTGAGAGGAAACAATCACTGTCATTGACAACTTTCTTCAGCGGTGGCACCGGGGAGCAGAGAGAAGGCGGCAGTGACAAGAAGAATATAGTGCTGGGTCAGGGAGATGAAGAGTCACTCAGCATTTACTAGTCCTGACTAGTGAGGGATTCAGTGGGCCCCTAGGGGAGCTGACTGACTTCTGAACAGAGAGGGGCAAGGGACTGGATGTCATGAAGGAAGAATAGATGTGCTAGGCATGGAGGTGAGAGCTAAAGTTAAGAACAGGGGTCCTCAAACTTTTTAAACAGGGGGCCAGTTCACTGTCCCTCAGACCCACTGGAGGGCTGGACTATAGTTTTAAAAAAAACTACGAACAAATTCCTATGCACACTGCACAAATCTTATTTTGAAGTAAAAAAACAAATGGCAAAAACACCCGGCAGGCCGGATAAATGTCCTCAGCGGGCCACAGTTTGCGGACGCCTGGTTAAGAACGCATGATCAGGAAAGAGAAATTTTAGCACATGTCCAGTTCTCACTTCAGGATGTCAGACAGCGAGACAAACAGCATGTTAGAGACTCTATTCTAATCTGTGCTACCACGAGGCAGAAAGGAGCCTGTAACAGCTGCCAGAAGGAATTAGTAATAGAGCTTCAGAGAAACAACTTTACTGGCAAGACATTGGGATTTTCCCAGAGATGAGAAGGATCCTTACTGTCAGCTGTCACTAGGTTCGATTGTGTAGCTCCATCCTCGGGTGGGAAGCAAAGTCCAGCTGAGCAGAGCTGCTGGAGAACTACAAACCCAAAATGAGATTCTCGGCAAGAGACTAGGACCAAGTAACAATGTTTTATTAGAGGTATGTGAAGTGGATTCCAGACATGGGAACTCCTGAAGAGTGGCCATCATGGGAGCCCTGCCTTTAAGTGGGTCATAACCTCTAGGGACAGAGGGGACACCAGCCTTCTTCTCACAGAAGGTAGGGGAAATACAAGCTACTCACTAGAAATGGATTGAGTTCTTGGGATATACATTATGCAGACATTATCAGGAAGTATACATACTGATACTGTAAAATCTCCTATATGTGGGACACAGACGGTTTGTTCCTTAAGAGAGGAAGACACTAGATCTATAGAAATAGTAACTGGAATAATAATTTCTTAGGGGTATGCCAGGGAGGGTTGAGGGCTAACAACAATGAGGGCAAGAAAGAAGAAAATGTCTTAAAATGGATTGTGGTGGTGACTGTACACCTCTTTTGAATATGACTGGATGATTGAATTTTACGATATGTGCATTAAATGTCAATAAGAGAAAGAGACAGAGAGAGAGAATGGCACTAGTTCATAGTGTCTACTTTCAGCTGTCCAAAGACAAGACAAGCCTAGGCTCTCAGATACCTGGCACATGTAGATTCTGTGCTTAGTGTAGCCCCAGTATGAAAAAGACAAGTGGGGGGAAGGGTGGAGAAGTGGGGTGTAGAAAAGGTAGAGTAAACACCTGGGATCCACCCTGTAGGCTGGCTTCTAGAGAAAGGGACTAAGAATACAAGGCTGATTTTTTTCTCCCTGTCAAATCTCAGTATAATCTAGGAGAGTTATTGGAAAGTAGAGCAAGATCAATGGAGGATGTGCTACCAAATACAACTACGGAGAGCTGGATGAAACAAAACTCTGAGACAATGTTCACCCTCTAACTTGTAACCGCTAATTGAGACCTTCTTTTTACTCCTTGAGGGGATGAAGTTTTTAATCTTGAGTTTTATGTGGCATCATAAAAGCTATCACCTTGCTACCAAACAGCAGGGCTGCAAATGTAATATTTAATAAGTACTGAGTGTGGAGCGCACGATGAGCAACTAATCACAATCCCACCTCACATTCCCACAGACCTTACGGTTTCTAAATGTTTCTGCATACATTATCACATTTGCAAACAGCAACATAAAAAATCATAATCAACACATTTCTTGTTTTCATTGCAGATCTGTCTTTCCAAGTTACCTGATTAGTTTTCTTACACGGCTAAACACCACCTAAACAATCTTTAAC